AGCGTGGGAAATCTATCCTAAAAAAATCCAATATGAGAGAAGCAACATATAGAGATTGCCGACCTATTGAATCCTGATATGAATCTTCTACGATACTACGGACTACGATACAAATTTATAGCTAACGTATCACGTAATAACTGTAACATAACTAAATACGTAAACGGAACGTAACTAGAGATTTGCCTGGTCTTTGAAATGTCTTCCTGTAAAGGAGCGTCCGCGGTCTATCCACCGTATAAATAACATTATGCTCCCATTTGTCACATTTAAGCTCATATTTGAGCTAAAGTAATTTGGTAATTGCGTTATTCGAACCGAAATTCTACTTTCGCGATAATTCTATGCATCTTCCTTGTATACCTTGCCGCGATCGTAACTGTTTTCCTAATCTTAAGGATAAACGAGATACGTTATTCGAATCGCTCGTCCCGCCGTTCTTATACGACGCGAAACTCTCGAAATATCGCATGATTGTTTGAAAAATCATTCGTCGAACGATTAATCTCTCGTCTCGAACAACGTTGAACACGGCAACGAAATATTTAAATAATCGTGACCGCCTGTTTGACAAATACAATCGTATCCGTCTTCTCTCGCGTTAGAAGAATACATTTTACGGCGAAAGAGCGGTGTCTAACGGAATCACGCACACGAAAACGACACACGTCGGATACATTCACCGGAAGCGAGTCCAATCGTAAGAGGAACGAGGCACGTTTCTCCTCGACGCGACGGTTTCCCGCCTCTATAATCGCGTACAAACCTTTACGCAACCTTTACGTACATTAGGGCTATGAGTATTCCTCGCGCATTTGCATTAAAAAACGGGGGATGGTGGGACAATTGTTGTATCGGAAAGGGGATAGCAAGGAATATATTTACATCGATACTGGCAGTACATCTTCGTTCCGTTATGTTGCTTCACCGTGGAAACGCCAAGTCCAACTTTCGATAGTCTTTTTCTTTGTTATGTCGCGTGTAGAGGAGCTCCGCGGCAGCGTAGCTCCCTTTTCTTCCCTCGATTCTTCGATTCATCTTGAAGCGGCTGACGCGCTTGCTTCTTCTACAGGAGATGACGATTCTTGTTTCTACGTAAATGCACTTTGATCGCAGTTCTCTGACGTTTTCTTTCTGTCGCTTCGTCGCCTTCTAACCGCTCGCTCGTCTTGTGCCGCAGCTCTCCGATCAAACAGACGTATGCGCCAAACGAGAGCGAACTTTAATCCAACTTTCAATTCTTATGCCGAAATCCCTCGTTTCAATGCATTTTCCTAATAAAATTTCATTTTCGATGCAATTTTGCCTAATAAAAGTCAAAGTGGAGATTATGCGTCAAAATTTCATTTGATTTGTTCGGCGACACTACAGTTTTCTTCCAAGCTTCGCAGTGGATATCGGAGAATTGTACTTTCGATCTTGCAAAAGCAGTTAAAACGATGACACCACTTTCGACGATCGATCCTTTTTAAAACTGTCCTCTTCGCATTCGTCGATTCGATCTCGTATTGGCACACTTGAGGTGATTTTAACGTAGCGGATCGTAGCGGATCGTAGCGGATCGTAGCGGATCGTAGCGGATCGTTAGCGGATCACACTGGTACAAAAAACTGTCGCTTCCGTAAAACTTACAAGATAGATCGCGCAAACCTAACAAAATGAGAAAGAGCAACGGAAGAAATTGTCTAACGATACAACGTGATAACGCAACGGCCGCAACAAATTAATCAATTTGATTAACATTCGTTTGTTCACCGATGCAAGCTTCCATCCTAAATCCTTTTCTCGCGAGTGATCGTGAGTAATCTACTTCGATGACGCTGATCGAAGAGAGAAAAGAAAATGAAATTTCGATCACGAGTCGGATCGTTCGTGTGAAAAATCCACGAGTATACATAACTTGCGTCTTCTTTTCTCTTTAATAGCCTAAGCAAGAAAAAGGGGAAAAAGAGATAAACAGCTCTACGTGTGCACGAGAACGGCTTAAGTTGTATTTAGGTTCAGCTCGTGTCCGGTTCCTCGCGCATGACGGTGAACTTGGAAAGGGGGAAAAAAAGAAAAAAGAGAAAAGAGAAGAAGAAAAAAACGGGAGAACAAAAGAAACTATAAACGCAACAACGTTCGTTTAATTAAGAAGTTGACGTATCATAGCGCAGTATTGTCTAACGTTGTTTATTAAATTATAACTTAGAGATGTTTGGCAGTGTCTTCGTCCAACATATACTTATATATACGCTTCCTTTAGAGAGTATAACGTTTCGCGCAAGGTTGTACAATTAGAAATAAGATATCCGTGCTATTTGAGTATCCTTTATACAAAATTGTTACGAAAATTGTATCTTGTAGCGTGTATAATACGATTACGATTACAGTCTGAACACACTTGAACACATATTTTTCTAACGCACGAAGAAGACAATAAAAATATGAATTCTCTCTCTCTCTCTCTCTTTCTCTCTCTCTCTCTCTCTCTCTATCTCTATCTCTATCCCTCTCCCTCCCTCCCTTCCTCCCTCTGTCTCTCTTTGAGGAAAAGAAAGAACCAATACAAGAAAAAGAAAAGAAAAGAGGAGAAGATAAAGCAATATAGAAACGTATAAAAAACGAACGTGTATGTAATTGGCAGAAAATCGTATATACCTTGACTTGATTCAAGATTGCCGTCGCTAAAACTCATCTTTGCCGAGCTTCGTACAAACGATAATCGGTCGCGACTTTACAAAACCTCTCTAAAGGAATTACAATGCAAAGAAAGATGATCGTTACGTACAGTAGATTAAATAAATAGCACTTAAAAATACCTATCTTAGGTAAATCTGTTTAAACACGACTGACTCGCGATTTTTTCCTATCCAGATGTATATTTCGTATCCAAATTTATACGATTCTTACTTTACGCAAAATATCGAAATTCGTCGAACGAACAAACGTAGATTCGCTTGATTAGATATAGTGAAACATGATCTTTTTTTCTCGATTCCTCTTTAGTGTCTAAAGAAAGACTGTTTACCGAACGACTTTAGTAAAGTTTTTCGTTGTTACTTGCTAAAACGTCGTAATCGGTCGGGACAAATTAAAAACTAGATTAAAGACTCGAATTTTGTACAACTAAAGATAATCGTATAAGAAATGCAATTTCTCCGACTTCTTTTTTTTTTCCTTTTCTTTTCTTTTAAGTCAGCTCTTTCGATACAAGAACTTAATTGGAAATTAGTCCGACGTTTTAATCCTCCTTTATAGATATGCGTGTATGCTACTGATCAGTAAGTTCTCTGACCACAGATCCTGTGTTTATCGATCGGAACACGAATGAGACAAAACAATCCTGATACAAACGATTTTGTACGAATATTCTTCACTGTTAATTGCATCAATCCAGGTTGTATCAGCGTTTTCTTTTCAATTCACCTTACGAAACTTCAAAAACTTTCTTCTTCTTCTTCTTCTTCTTCTTCTTCAATGGTGGAAAAACGTTGCCTACCCGTGTCTCTATTACATGCGAACGAATACTTTCACATGCCCTACATTTTTTTCTTTCTTTTAACTTTTTTCTGTAACAACAACACTTTTATAAAGATTCGCTACGTCTCGAGTCTTCAGATTGATTTCTCTAACCCGGAAAAAACGCATGGAGAAAATTTACAACGTCATCTATCGCATAGATAACTTTGGCCAACCACTTACGTACTCAGCTATGCGACGACTCCTTAAATTGTACGTTATTATGAAATAGGTAAGTTCTTTCCCCTAGTCTTGTATAATAATGAGCAATGCTAGAACTGCATCTTCATCATCTTGAACCGTATATAAAGAATAAAAGTTGCTCGCGATAATTCGTACGCGATAAACGAGCAATTGCACCTCGTTATGTCAGCCACTATATAATTATCAAATACTACAACAAGTCGAACGCATAGTTATACGTAGTTATACGCAGAAGACAAACTGCAGCGTGGCGGATGTGTTTTGTGGCAGTATGATCGCGTGTTATGATTTTGATTTTAGTCATATTGTCGTACGAGTAAACGATGGGCGTAACAGTTCAAGAAGATCAAGTTACAGAAGCCGATGTCTATCTCTACGATTGTATTGAAAAATAACCTTTGCAGGATGTCTACTTTTCTTTTTACTCCATATTTTCTTCATTTACTCTTTTTAACACACTAACTGCTAACGGTCGCTAGTATGTTAGCTCAAGTGAGAGGAACAACTGTCAGTTTTTCAATTCGCGTCCTTTTTTTCTCGTCGGGATCATGGTGCACGCTCCGCAACTTATAAAAACGAGCGATTGGCCAATTTCTAATGAATGCAAAACCCGCCGCAAATGATTCCTTTCTCCTTTTACATTTGCTTTACATTCTTCGACTTTTTCCTGTCAAACTACTATGCTACAATATATACAATTCATCGAGCAATGTATCTGATTGTTCTTGTAAATGTTTCCCTCGCGCGTGCTCCTATTACCTCGCTTTATATTAAAATAGATGTAGAAACGTTAATTGAATTTTATGCATCGAAGGTAATCATGGACGGTACATTTTGAATGTAGAATTTCAATTAAACGAAAACGAGAACGAGAACGAGAACGAGAACGAGAACGAGAACGTTCGTGTTTCCCGGTATATGAAACGAAACAAATCGATAAATCGGCCTTTTACTTTAAATACAAATGGCAATGCAAATTCATTGTCCAGCAATGAATTTGTATTTACTATTGTTTGCAACCTGCTTCTCTTCGTAAGACTCGCAGTTTCTTGATCGAATGAAATAAAATTTACATTTGCAAGAACAGTCACACATCGTACACCAATTAATACATACTTATTACATAAACATATGTAACGAATGGCAGTGCATGTGACTTGCATCAATTTGTCACTAATCATCTCTTTTACGCGTAGAGATTTGAAACTGATCGAGCAACCATGTAACATCGTTCTTGCTCGATTCGTTAACGGAAATTTTATACGATTGCAATGCATTTTTATAATCATAAAGAAATGATTTATTGTTAAGTATTAAGTCCCTCCCACTCGATTAGGTATTGAGTCTGACCGTTTGGTCCTATCCTCTTTGCTCTGATGACAAACTTTTCACCAGCAGCGATTCTATTAGCTGCTCCAAAATATATGTTCACCGATGATTTTAGATCATCCAGAGATATGTCGGGCGCACTTTGTTTAACAGGCGAACACTTTGGGGACGAAGGTACGCTACCCTTCTTTTGTGGTTGTGGATCTGGAGGCGGTAATTTGTCATTGTTTTGACGTTGTCTTAGTCTCCTCCCGTTTAAGGCATAATCGACACAATTTCCAATTTGACTACTAGCACTGCTCGAGGCACCGTTAAACGAACTTCTTAAATTCCTTGCAAATTCACTTTTAATTTCGTTATTACGTGCCGGTAAGATGGTTGCCGTTTTACTGGCAGTATGCTGATACTGCTGTTGTATCTGCTGTTGCGATGGACGTCCTCTCCGATGTTGACGTCTACGTTTAACTTGCCCGTTTCTGTCTATAATAATGTCTTTTTCCGATAATTGTCTTTTGGCTGGCCGCACTACCGGCGGTTGAGATATAACAGGAGTAAGCGGTAGAGGTAATGTAATTGGACATTGATTGTACGGTGACGGGGTACTTGAATTTGTTTGAGTCAGATGATTGCCAGGTGTACCCAATAAATCACTCAGATTTCTAAAAGGATTATTCTTGCCTTCAAAGTCTTTGGGTGGTGGAATAAAGGAGTCCAAGGTTCCTCTTGAACTGGTCTCATCCCCGCTTGTATCCGCAGGCGTAGATGGTGGTAAAGGATGCATCAATTCCACAGAACTAGGCACAGATAGTTCAGATATACCCGAAGTTGTGGCTGGCGGCGTAGGTGGGCCAGAAACTGAAGTTGGAGGTGTCGGTGGTAGATCGGATGTTTCCGAGTTACGGGATTTACTCTGCAATATGTAACGAGCAATTGGATCGAACGAACCTCCATTGTACGAATTATACCTGGTGCTGCTGTTTTTTTCTTATCTATTACCTTAGCTATAGCATTCTTCAATAATTTCCTTGCTTTCCTATATCTAGCTTCTCGAACGCCCTGAGCTTTGCTTAAAACACCGTCGCTCTTTTCTCTTTTCTTGTGTTTACGTAACATCCTTTCGCGAGAACTTCCTAATGCCATTAAACGTCTCCTTCTTTGCAAACTAAGTTTGGGAAACGGGAATGATTTCTTTACAAAGCCACCTCCGATATACCTATAACAAATAAACAGATAACGACGATCAAAAGTGTTTTAGGAAACACGTTGTTACGTTTCGCCGATACAGTGAATCAGAGCCCTACCTTTCCCTCAGGGACTGCGTCGATTGACTCGGTGGGCTTGGACTCGGACATGAACTTTGTTCCGCTTCCGAGTTCTGATAAATTGTTCCACGCATTACCACGTCCGATGGATTTACTGGAATTTCCAAGTTCTCTGCTGTACTTTGTTTCAATGCAGTTAATTGTTTTGTACTTTCTGGTAATGATATCGGTCTGCAACAAAACGATATTTCTTTCAGGGTCGTTAAAAACAGAAAAAGAAGGAAAGAAAGAAAAAAAAAGGAAGAAAATAATAACAATTAAAGTACGTATTTTAAACAACAATATCGCGGTAACTAACCCTGTAGGCGGAGGAAGATATTGCAGTCTTTTATTAGCACCCCAGCATCTACGTAACACAGAATCATCTATTACACCAGTTGCTGGAAGATTAACAATTGGACACGGTGGTGGTAACCTAACTCTAAGACCCCATATCGTAGTACGTTTCTTTATTTCTCTGCCACATTTGAATCTGTTCCTATTATTTGTCAATATTGCTAGTATAGATTCTCTGCGTATTTGAGCACTGACATCCCTGATCTAACAATAACAAATACATACGCATATATTTTTTAAGTGTCTAATTTGTGCACATTTTTAACCAAGTAAAAACATCTTGAACTTAACGTTCGAAAAATTCTATAAAACATCTCACCCGTGGAGGAAGCTGCAAAGTGTTCCAGTTATCATTGGCATAAGGTACGATAACAGTGTCCAAATCATAATACTTTTTAGCATTGTAAACAGTTAAATTGTACAACATCAGGTGCACCAGATCTACCCATTTCAATTCCAGTCGCCGTACGAATTCTTTGCCATAATTGCACATTGAACAAACAAACACATAAAACCTATAAATAACGTCAATTATTAAAGCCACCATAGGAATAAGGAAAGAAAGCTTTTTACCAAGATTTCATCATTTTCACCTACCTATCTCCACTGTATAAAGGATAAGTTAAGCAACTGACACATTTTTCATGAAACCATTGCTTGCAACGAGCACATTGCAACATTTGCGTATACCATTCGCCATTGAGTCCGCAATAACAATAAATTTGTTCCGCATTTACTCTATGATGCGCATCCCAATTTAACATATTGGGCTGTAACAAACATTAACTATTGATTCTATCAGTATTCTAATATATTTTTCAACGAAATAATGTATTTAAAGATATAAGTAAAGGACTAATATTGTTCACTTATTATTATTATTATTATGGATTTGCTATTGAAATTAAGATTACAAAAGATTGTCTTGGATACTTACATCGTACGGCAACTTTGTCATATCATCTGGTGGCGGCTGAGGTTGGTCCCTACCACTGCAAACTTTTCTGATACTTGCCTTTACCATAGAAGTTTTCGGTTCTACAACTTCACGCGCACGCGGTTGACTATCTACACATCTTTTACACATCCAATGCGCCTCGGCTGCAGTTTCTTCTTTTAATATTTGAGGCTGCAAGTACATACGCTTTGAAATATCTATCTCATAACGTGTTGGCACCATTACATATAAACTATCGATCTCTCTTTCAAATATATATTTTTTCCTATTACCTGATGACAAAGTTGGTGATAACCACGACCACATTTGTCGCAAACAATAATGTCGTTATCAGTCTTGGGCTGAGATTTTTTACAAAGAACACACATAACATCAGAATCTGGCATCGATAGCTTTGTCAGCTCCTTAACAGAGGACCATGCGGAGGTGTTGTCCATAAATTTGACAAGGCATTTCTCCCTTGCCAAATCCACCTGTACAGACAGTGTTTAATAGAGTTTCTTCCAACTATGTTAAATACCTGTAGTCTCATCTAGCTATTTTGAAATCCTCATTATGTTAAATCCGATAGCAAAACATAATGTGATTATGTTTTATTGGAAAAATATAGAAAATCAGCTACGTTTGAGAAATATTATACAAATGTACCTCGACAACCGTTCCAAGATAATATTTTCCATCTTTGTGCTGAAGAAGAACGTCGTCCCCATGAGAGAAACCCAATTTCTGTTCCCTCGTAGTGCTATCCGGCGCTGCCAGACTTTCTTCTGGCTCTGACATTTTCTACCCTGTTTCTACGGTCACATGAAACAAGAACGATATAACTTAACACACATAAAATTAACGATTGAATCATATCTAAATAATGTAATGAAATAGCTGTTATTCAACTTTAGATTCAAATGTTACAAAGGGAATTTCATTAAAGACATTTTAAAGGCATTGTTTTAAATTTAACATTGTTTAATTTCTGAAAAGAAGCTGATATTAATGTTTATCCGTATAAGATGAACAGATCGTAAAAAATGATCAGATACTATAGAAGAAACATGTTATGATTTGATAGTAAATAATAACATCAACATGATAAGGCTTCTATATTATTAGTTACACCAATACTACACCGCATATGTATTTACGTTATAAATTGCTGTTTAATGTTATTAAACAATTATAAAACAAACTCGATATATGTGGAAATTAGCCTTTTATGAAATAAATAGCATCCTATAGAAGTAAAATTGAACATGTTTCGAGGTAAAATTACGATAATCACGTTAGGAAAGTGGTTAACATTTCGAATGAAAGGCCATGTTAATATACAATCTTCTTGTAAAATGTTTGTTGAAATCCGAAAGGAATGCAAATCTTACATGCACGTACACATAATGCTTGGTCCACGCAAATGTGCAAAATAGATGGTCCGCCAAATCATTCATTTATGTACGTGTCCATTACAAGCGGCGATAAGTACGTTACAAGAATGAAAAAAGTATCGCGTATACCTGCGAAAGAAATAACGACCATATGATCGGCATCTCATTAAAAACCAGTCCGCGCGCTCTCGCTCTCGTTAACGAACGAGAGCACCTACAAATGCTGTTCTAAACAAGACGAAACGTCGCGCACGAGCGGTTACACTTTCGAGAACATTTTTATCGTTGATGACAAGTATGTCGAATGAAATCAGATTCTCTGCCGATTAAGGGAACAGAAGAGACCTTAAAACCGATTAATTGACAAAGACACTGGCGATACGATAGACAGGAACAACCCCCGGGACATCTCCTAACACCGGGCGGTGCTTGGACCGGTGGTGGTGTTTATAGGACAGAAGACCGTGCGAATATCGTTCGATCTCCAAACACCTTCTCTATGTCGTACCTCAGCGTCTTGGCCGTCGAATCACGCGCGACGTTCGGCCCTCATTTTCCGATTCCCGTCAGCCATTTACAAGCATGGGGGCCCCGCCACGGTCGGTCGCTCTCAGACACAGAATCGCGGCGCGGCAAAACCCTATCCCGTGAAGTCAGGATGGCGACACGCCGGCACGCATGCAACCGTTACGATCACGGCGGCGCCCGGGTATCTACGTCGGCCACCCTCAGGATCACCACACGCCCTTAGACACGGACATCACCGCCGCGAACTCGGTGCACTTTCATTGTGTCCCTTGAAAATTCGAATAACCACCGTCCGCCATATTCGGGGAAACACTTGCTAGAGACTACGCTGCTCAACTAACCTACCGTGGTGCCAGTGCTCCCCGTAGGGATGTCTAACGAAACAGGGATGCCCATTTCTTTTCGCTTTACACTTACATTTACACTTTTGCCTAGAAAGTATAACACCGCTCTCTCGGAACTCGTCAAATAGGATCAGAGATAGTTCCGAGTCTGCTTTTCATAATTCTATTTCATGAATACTATAGCCTTAGGTTATAACCTTTGTACGTTTGTTTGATCGACAAATGTTCTTATAGAACAATCTCTCAAACCCCGACTTTATTTCCAAGCACAAAAAAATAACTAAACGAACTATTAACAAAAGTTCTAAATTATACGTCGTATATCATTCGTGTTTTGGTATACGTGTAAAAATTCGTGAACAGCATGGCGCAGGGCATACAAATCTTGATGTACGGCCATGGTCGTTAGTTGGACGTTCTATTGTGGTACAGGTATAATATAAACAATTGATGACAGCGTAGCTAAAGACTCTGTTATATTATGATAATTACAAGAGAATACCGTAATTATTTAAAATATAGAGGATTTCGGGATTGGAACGATATATAGAATATAGAAATCTTGCAATCTTTCAACAATTAGAGTAGTATATCTTTCATACACAACATTCTCGTCATCTATACTCTAAACCTGTATAAATTTTGTTACACTTTAAATAATCCAAAACAGACCTTAAAATACTATTAAATGAAATACGATAGTTAATAAATGCAACGATTTGTTTAAAAAACAACATATTCATATGTCGCATCTGATTTTATCAAGTTTTGAAAAATAATAATTTCAATAGCTTCTTGTAATTAACTTGTATGCAAAATATGAATTTGTAAATCAATTTTATATTACGTTTATGTATAAATAACGATTTTGCCACTCTAATCTTAAACAGTTGTACGAAGTATAAGCGCCGCGATAGCTAGATAACATTTTGGCTATTGGTTATTCACATATTAGCTGATCATTGGATATTGAATGCGCTCTAAAATTAGCTGTAATTGTCCAATCGGCAGAAGACTGGAATACGAATCTCTTATGCCTAACGAAGTAATACTTAAGCTACTCACGTATTCGCAAGTGAAGGGTTGCTAACTTGGAAGTTGAAGCATGTAAGTAACTTTTTTTCTGCCCGTAACTCACCTGCCGATTTTTTTTTTTTTTTTTTTTTTTTTTTTAT